AAGAGGGTGAAGGGCAGAGCTGAACTCCAGAGTTGTGAGACCACATAAATATTGCTTTCATCCTAGTGCCATTTGTAAGGGAGGCTGGAACACAGGTGAGATCTGTGCATGGGTTCTCCAAAGTCTCACCTACCGTGAGCAGTTGTGTGGTTTAAATTGCCATGTGTGGCCCCAAGATGGCTGTCTTATTGTTCCTGGAAGTCCCACAGTGAAATATAACCCGAAGTTCTGAGAATCCAAAACCTCTGTAACCGCAGCTGCCACAAGCTGGCACTATGCCCAGGCAACGTGGGGAGGGCGAGCTGAGGGAAAGCATCCCCCTGGTTCCACGGTCCATGGTGCCTTTACTCTGTGGAGTCTTCAAGCCACCCCCATCTGGAGTGACATTCCTGGTTCTGAGTCAGCAAACCCTGCCTCAGGGCAGGCACTTGGATGTGATGGGAACTCCACCCATGTCAAGCCAATCTGTGGAGCCATCCAGCTAAACCTCACCGCTGTTTCCAGGAGCAATAAAGTTTCCACAAGCTCCAAAGAGCCTGCTTGCTCTGCCTGTTTCTCATCATGCTCCATCAGGCTCTGCCAGTGTCCTCCCTGAGCTGGCATATCCTCTCTAGATGCTGATGGACTGATCCTTTACAATATACTGGCCTGCTGCCTGCTGGAGGGCATTGGCGGTGGCTTGTGCCTGGCGGGGGGAGTAGGGGGAAGCAAGCGAGAGAGCAAGACTCTCTGGATCAGTGGTTTTTGACCTTTTTTCATTTGCAGACTGGCTTGCAATGAGCCTTGCAGTCTGGATCTGGCCTGAAGCATGGGGTGAGTTTGACTCCCCTGGGTTGCAAGGTGCTCAGAGCTCCTGGCCTTCCACCCCTGGCTCTCAGCTCTACTCTGTGTGAATGCAAACAGACCCCTGGGCTAGCAGGCATCAGTGAGATGTTTTAATGACCATAATACATGACTGGTTCCCAGAGTGGCCAGGGTTACAAGCATATGTGATACAATAGCAGGGGCTCTCCCTAGCTGCTTGTGCACTTGGCTCCTTTGTTCATGAGGTTGGGCAGGGGGAGGGGAGAGGTAGCAGGCATTACTGGTTATCAGATTTGTATGGACCAGGCCATTAATAACTCGAGCTGCCCCTACTCCTGGCTCTTCTGTTTGTTGCAAGCCCTACTTCCCTTCTGCAGCCAGCTGGATCAGTGAGGAGTGTTGAGGGCCTGTGGGGTGGTGCTGGGAGTTGGAAGCGGGGTTGGGCTGTGGATGGGGTTGTGCCCCACTTCCACCTTCTTCCTTGCCCTGCTCTCCAGATGCTGGATGCAGAGGTGAAGTTCCCCTATCCATCAATGAGGCAGGGCAGGAAGGGAGCCAAGGCCCCTCATGCCCCTTTCCAGCCTGGGCAACTACCCGCTTGGTGATGCTTTCACTCCTAGAAGGGAGATCCTTCAACGTGGGCTGGGGATGCTGCCTCATGGGCGGTCACGTTAGACCTTCACCTGCTCTGCCTCTGGCTGGATGAAGCAAGACTGCACCACAATGCAGGAAAGAAATGTGGCAGTTTGAGCCCTGGGCGAAAACTTCGGGTGGTGGCAGGTGTGAGCCAGTATGTCATAGGGTACAGAGGACAGCATGGTTTGTCACCATCATACCTCCATGACTGGGGCAGCCAAGGGGGCCTGGGTCAAAGTCATGGACCCATGTAGCTTGGGAGAGGCAAGGGCATGGAGAGTCCCACAGTTCTCCCCATGCCTGAGGCACGGACACCAAAGTGACAGGCAGGCGGCTGAGCTCCACTCCAGCATTGCATTGCTGCTTTGGTTTTCAGTGGGTAGTGCTGGCCTCCTGCTGGGACAGGTTGGGCCACCCATGGTGATTAGACACTGCCTTGCTGGGCTGCAGAGTCCCAACCAGATGGGCAGGCCCTGGCTGGCAGGAAAGGGGGTAAGTTCAGTGTAGCTGCCCCAACCTTGCACTCACCAGTACAAACCAGGCTTCAGGGGAGAGAAATGATTGCCTTAGGGCAGGGGCAGGCAAATATTTTGGGCAGAGAGCTGCTCACTGAGTTTTGGTAAGCTATCGAGGGCCGCATGACAGGCAGCCCAGGGCAGATTAATATTTTCTAAATTTTTAGGGGGCCCATGGGCTAGATAGAATGGCCTGGTGGGCCACATCTGGCCCCCGGCCCACATTTTACCCACCCCTGCCTTAGGGCCTAATGAGGGGGGGAGCAAGGCAGCGATCCCCCTAGCCACCAACGTAGCGGAAGCAGAGCTAGGAGGCCTGGAGAAGGGGCAGTGCAAACCATCCAGGGGCTCAGGGGCAAGGTGGGAATGGGATTGCCTTCCTCCTGGCCCCAGGAGACAGGGAAGCAGCAACAAACTATAGGCCAAAGCACCAAGGTCACCCCCCAAGTGCAGAGTCATCTAGAGACGTCTGCCCCAGAGGTTAGCACCAAAGATCACAAGTCCCCCCGTCAGGACAGGGAGGGGAGTGCGGGAGTAGGCGGGGGGCTCTGGAGACATCAGGATGCAGCAGAATAGGGGTGCATTCGTACACATATAGCGCTGGATACAGGCCTCTTGAAAAATGAAGAACAAATAAATACAGAGCGGTGCTGCCATTGGCTCCCAAGCACCCTCCCTGGCTGCAGCCCTGGGGGGGCCCCGATCACGTTGGCTGGCTCAGGATCCTGGGATGGCCCCTCATGTGCTTCCTCATGTGACAGTCCAGAGTGACGTGGAGGGATGGGGGGAGGCAGGCTCACAGAGAGGCCGTGGTGCTGGGGGCAATGGCTCCCTCTTGTGCTCCGCCGGCCAGGGCCACGCCTCTTCACTGCCTGTCATCCTGGCCCTTCTGGGACAGCTGGCGGGAGATGATCCGGTAGGCTGCCAGTCCGCTGCGCTTGCCTCGGAAGAAGCTGGGGGTGCTAGTGGAGAAGGGGCCACCTCCTGACCCTGGGTCTGGTTCTAGCAGTGAAGGGAAGAAAAGCAGAGTCAAACCCTGGGGCTTCCCCACTGCAAGGCACACCCAGGAAGATGCTGGGAGATCGCAGGGTGTTATCTTGGCAAGGCGGGGTGGTTCTGTGTACAGCTACCACCCAGCAGCTTATCAGCCCTGGTGCAATGCCAGCGCACCTGCTTCCATCTGGCACTGGAAGACACAACCTGGTCTGCTGCTAGTTGCCCAGGTTTTGCTGGTTGTTGAGAGCAGATGTCAAGGACCTACAGAGTTTGGAATCAGATCGTAAGATCCCCCAAGCCTGAAGTTGGGCCCTGCCCTGGTGTAAGGGACAGCGGGGCACATTCACAACAGGCCCAGGCTTGGCTGAACAGTGGGTGGGCATTGCACAGCCCTGCCTGGGTGAGAACAGTAGGCTCGTGTGATTCAGTCCGATGGGTCAGGAAGGCCACAGGGAGGGGCTGGTCTGTCATGTACCCTAATATGGGAATTTAGGTCCTGGTGACCTGCTTGCCTCTGGAGAATGGGTAATGTTCTGATATCACAGGGACCAAGGAAGTGAAAAGTGAGGAGATTTGAATCTGACTCTTACAGTTGCTGGTCTGAATTTCTAGATGCTTATGGAATAAAACTGAGCTTATTAAGGATTCAACAGCCTGTCACACCTGCCTTTAAATACAGGTACAAAAAGCTCAAAATGTACATACATGTCACCTAAGGAGACATAGGGATTACAATTCTCATGAGAGGGATTGTGACAGACTGGGTGTGGGATGGTGACCCTTACTGCTAACTGAGATCATGGGAAATGGCTAAAAACTACAGCTCTGGTTCAAGCCTAAGTTACCTCGCTCTATAATGCTCACATACATTGAATGGAAGTAAACTCCCCCTGGCAGCAGACTACTCTGGCCTGTATTTCACAGAAGGCACGCTAATGGTCCCTTCTGGTCTTAAAATCTCTGCAGTCCTGATACTGCTAAAAGAAAAGCAGTCAGGGGAGGAAAATGCCCTTGCTTCTTCCTTATCCATCACAAAGCAGGGCCACAGACCATCAGACCAATTACTTTCCCTCTATTGCTCACTTTTGAATGCCAAGTCCAATAAAGATCAGCACTCAGGGTTCCCAGGCTAAGTGAGGACAGCTCTGCATTCCTAACTTGCTCAGGGCCCTCTAAGACTACAAACAGTTTTACAATCCAATTCCCTTCCCACTGTTCATATGCTTTGTTCACATTTTTTCCCCTTGGCCTTGCACTCAGACCAGGCAATTTCATATTGCCCCTCACTTCCGCTTCCTGGCTGTCAGAGGCCTCCTCTGAGCTGATGCTGCCTTGCACCATGTGTGTTCAGTGAGAGTGTAAGGATCAGCTGGTTTATTGCACCCCCCGCCCCCCCTTCTCCCCAGCCATGTGATTTATACCTGTGCTGAGATAAAGAAGTCAAGGGCAGCCCTCCCCTGTGGTTGCTGCTTGTGGGTAGAGGATAGGAGACCAACAAAGAACATTCCTATAGCAGAAGACCAAAGAAAGCCTTGAGCCCTTCAAGTCCCCAAGACATGAAGGAGGTTTCCTGATCTAGGTAGCAAGTGCCCAGGCTCTAGCCTTCATGCCTGTCACTGAGGGCTGTCCATGCAGCTGGGCTCAGCCCACAGCTGCCATTTAGAATGGTATCTGGTGCACTGTCTTTGCAAAGAGCACAGTGAGGGGGTTGTTAATGAGGGTGGGAGGTTGCATCCTGCTCCTACACAACTCCTGGGGGGTTGGCGAGATTTGGCAGGAACCAGCCCTGCTCTCAGAACTTGCTAACTCTGAGGGTCGTTAAGCAACAGATCACTTAAAATCCGCCTCACTGGAAGTGTAGGATAGATAAGCACTTATTTGGGATAATTTAAACAGGGACAAGCCTGCCTTGAGCAAAGGGGTGACCTCTGGAGGTCCCTTCCAGACAGGTCATGTTGGGGTTCAGGAAGCCCCTGACACTGTGGGGTCTGCCATTTGCCATCACCACATTAATTCTCTGCACCTGCAATTTCCCAGTCTCCCTGGCCCCAGGCATGTAACACACATCACACAAGGCTGTGACCAGTGCATCCCATGTCCCCTCTCTAGATCCATCTGTCACAGGCTCTCTCCAGGAGAGAGGAAGGCAACTCCCTCCCTCCCAAGCAAGTCAGGAATGGTTGATGCCACAGACTGGTCTGATCACCATGAGAGGACGAGGCCCCTATGCAGGGATGGAAGAGATTCCTACACAAACCTGCCCATGCTAAGGATGCCCCAGTCCATGCTCTGTGTCCTCTACCTCAGCCCCCACCACAGCTGGCAGTTACGAGACAGGAAGGGTTGTATCAGCACCTAACTGGAATCCCAACCATCTGGCTCCAAAGGGCTTGCAAAACACAGAGGAGTTGTCATCCACAGACTTGGCATGCAAAAGGGGGAACCCGCGGATACAACGGGGGTCCCCAACACAGGCCGGCTCCAAGTGGCCCACTGACTCAGCGAGCCCAGCTCACACGGTTAATGAATCATGCTGAGGAAGAACAGAGAGTAGGAAAAGTTGAGCCTCTTGTTACCTGGCCAGATGATGGCTTCCAGCAAGGTGACCCTTCTAGCCAGGAGCTCCAGCTGGGCCTGCTGCTGTAGGAAGGTTTGTAAGCTAATGGCCTAGTGGAGATTGAGAAGAGCACAGAGTGCGAATTCATTCACCCTCGATGGGGGAAGGGAAAGATAGGGAGGATCCATCACTGTGGGCTGAGCTGGGGAACCAGGACACCAGCTTGGAGAGGTATGAGGCAGGGGACGTGATGTGGGGAACAAGGGTTGTAAAGGACACAGAGACAGGATCCAGGCTGCTCTGAGCTAATGTGGCAACTGGTGCTCAGGGCCCTGTGGAGGATGGGCGCGGGGCTGGTCAGGGAGCAGGAAGCAGGTGCTGTCCCATCTCCTTGCTTGCTGGGATTTCAGGGAATCAGGATGAGGCACAGCCCATGACAGTGCACACACAACTCAGGGCTGGGGGCTGAGGCCGGAGAGCTCTCTGGGAGGGCAGACAGAGCCTGGCACCCAGCACCCACTGAACTCAAAGACCAGATGGGGTAGAGGGAAACCTTCTCTCCCCAACTCTGGCTCCATCCCCACTGAACAGGATTGTGGAATCACTCTGGGTCCCTCTCTAATGCTCCTAGAGCCATCTGCTCAGCCTGCCTCCTCTTGCTGGTGAGCTGCCTCTTCTGCAGTCCTGAGCAGAACAGTGTTTCTGTTCAAGTCTCTCCTAATCAGACGGGCTCCCTTCAGCTCCCCTCCCTCTGCTTGTTCCAACTCACTGCTCAAAGTGCTGTTGGGTGCGGGAAAGTGCAACACAAACCAAAGGATGCTAGCATGGCAGGAGGCAGCTCCTGTGAAATCACCCCATTTACAAGTGCAGGACACCTGTCTTGGGGGCCAAGTCCAAGCAAGTTTTTGCAGTACCAAGTCAGAGGCACTTCCCTTTCCTGCTGCTCAGGGGAGGTTATTGAGATCTGCATGGAGCGAAGACCCCTTGAAGTCTTTTTCATTCTGAGTGTGTACAGCACTCTACCCCAGGAAGGCCTGATCCCTGATTGGGTCCTCAGCAGCTGCCATAATACCAACACCAGTCATCATAAGGGAATGGGGAATCTGGAATTGACCATCCTTTTCCCCTGTTGCCACCAGAGGGTGCCCTCCAACCACAAGTGGCTCCTACCAGAGCCAGTCTCTTGCAGGTCCAGAGCAGGCCCCTTCTCCCCATTGGGAGCTGCACTCAAGTCCTGCAGGGCTGAATCTGGCCCCTGGGTCTGGATGAATCCAAGCAGCTGTCTCCCTGCCTTGCTCCCCACTGGTTTAACTGCCCCCCGTCCTGTGAAGTCAGTGCCTGAGGGGGGGCAGGGGGAGGTATATCATCTCTTGGGCATTTTTTGGGTGTCCTGGTTCCCTAGACCCTCCCCCAGGTCAGAGGGAGAAGGGTGGGGGGATGGATTGGGGGTGGGGGTTCCTCTGGCAGCTCTATGACATCAGCAGGAGAAAGGCTGCTGTGATGTCATCAGAGCCTGGCTTCACATGGTTGACCTATGACCTACTGAACTGGGATGATGTCACTGCAGAGAACAGCTCCCCCCCTCCTCCCTACCCACACACACCTGGGGCCAGTCCCCAGGACAGATGCAGTAGGGCTGGAAACCCACCAGCTGCCATAAGCAAACAGGCCAGACTGCCCAGGGGGAGAGATCGACTCAGGAGCCAGGGGCTCACAGGCCATGGGGCCAAGCAGCCCCAGCCTCTGTCTGACAGCAGGCCCCCACCCTCCCCTTCCCTGGGGGCTGAGCAGGATAGAGAGGGAAGCCTGAAGCACTGTTTGCTTGGGGGCAGCATGGGGGCCCTTCCAGACCTCTGCATGAGCTGCCCCTAGCCAGCCCCAGCCCCACACCTGCAGCCTGGGATTCTGTCCTTCTGTCTGTCTCTACTCACCATAAAGCCCAATCATTGTTTCCAAGATTAAAACCCTCTCAGCTAAAATCTTCAAAGCCTCTCGGAGCTGGTGTAACCCCTCCCCCTGTGGATGAAAGAGACAGATACAGCCGTGAAGGGTACGCCCGTGGGGCCAGGGCATGGTGGCCCGCTGGCCTGGGTCAGCCCTCTGACCCCACAGCCTCCAGGAAAAGGTTGGGGGACCCAGAGAGGGGTGGTCTGTCCTCTCCAGGAGGCACTTTGTTAACAAAGCCGCCCCCCCCCACTTGGCCCACATTAACAGGCATGCACACACAACACGTCAGGGAGAGAGGGGAGGGGGCACTGTCCAGCATCCACCAGGCACAGCTCATGCTGGTGGGGAAGGAGGAGCCAGGCCAGTCCGGAGCATGCACCCCACATTCAGCAGCAGCATGGGCTTGGCTGGGTCCTGTCCCAGCCGCTCCACCCTGTCTCTGCTCCAGCCTCCTCCAGCTTCTGAGCCCCTGGGGCCTCCACCCTTCAGATCGCCCCAACTACTGCCCTTGGTTGCAGTTCCTCAGATGGGATAATGGGGCCTGCAGT